CAAAAACGGTAAATTGCAAATATCTCAAAAACGGTACCATAAAATTAAAAATAACCTTGATTTTCGGAATCAGGGGGTGATTTTACATACGAATTTCATAACGGCGTCTCTGGTAAATTTTGGCCGTCGACCAGTGTAATTCTTCTGTAGGTATATTTGTGAGTTAAATCCTACCTGTCTGGAGGGATTTTAGCAAAGTTTTGTGTGTGTGTTTGAGTGGGTCTCTGGCAGGGTTGGGGACGCTGCACTAAATTTTCAGTGCACTGAGCATTTCATTACCACTATTCGTGTAGTGGTAGTGAAATGGGAAATGCATTACCACTAGGTGCATAGTGGTAGTGAAAACAATATTTCACTATCACTATATGGTTAGTGGTAGTGCCAAATTGTTTTCACTACCACTGTGCACTTTAGTGGTAATGCATTGCAAATTTCACTACCACTATATGGTTGGTATATAAGGGGTATTCTCTGAGTCTTGCATGCAAGGGCTTTGCAAGACTCAGAGAATACCCCTATTGATAATACTATATGCATTTAAGTCTATTCGTTATTTTTTGTTAAATTAATGGGCTGTTATTTGGTTGTTATATTGTTAATAATAAACAAGTAAGAAAGTCTAAGTTCGGGCGGAGCCGAACATTAAATACCCGGCGCAAGTATTAAATATATGTTTTTCACCTTTCCGAAAGCTACCGCTACATGGTAAGCCGGGGTGTATCAATTTTGAGTAAATTAGCGTCCTTAAATTTCGAAATATTCAAGTTTCAAGCATTTCTGGAATTTACCATTATTTGAAAAGCGACCGTAGTTATGTCTGTGAAGTTGGCATACGGTATGACGCAAACTGGAAAAAAAAGTTGTTTTGAGTATCCTTCCAATAGTTGTAGAGTTCTTGAAAAGGAAAAAAAAGTTCTGGATATTTTCACAAAAAAAAATTGATTTGAAAATTGGGTATGCCAGATTCGCGCAGCATACGGCATGTGGCAAAAAGGCAAATAAAAAGTTGTTCTGAACAGCTTTTCAATAGTTCTAGAGTTCCTGAAAAGGAAAAAAAAGTTCTGCAAAATTACGCAAAAATAACACTTTTTCCAAAAAGCCGAAAATGTTAAAATTTTGAAAAAAAATAAAAATTAAACCTGTTCTGAGTAGCTTTTCAATAGTTCTAGAGTTCCTGAGAAGGAGAAAGAAGGTTCTGCAAAATTACGCCGAAAAAACACTTTGTTCAAAAAAGTGAAATTTAAAAAAAAAAATAAAAAATTTAATCTGTTCTGAGTAGCTTTTCAATAGTTCTAAAGTTCCTGAGAAGGCGAAAGAAAGTTCTGCAAAATTACGCCGAAAAAACACTTTTTTCGAAAAAGTGGAAAAAGTTAAATTTTTGAAAAAAATAAAAAATTTAATCTTTTCTGAGTAGCTCTTCAATAATTCTAGAGTTCCTGAGAAGGAAAAAGAGTGTTCTGCAAAAAAGTTCTTCCTGAGAAGGAGAAAGAAAGTTCTGCAAAATTACGCCGAAAAAACACTTTTTTCGAAAAAGTCGAAAAAGTTAAATTTTTGAAAAAAATTAAAAAATTGTATCTGTTCTGAGTAGCTCTTCAATAGTTCTAGAGTTCCTTAGAAGGAGAAAGAAAGTTCTGCAAAATTACGCCGAAAAAACACTTTTTTCGAAAAAGTCGAAAAAGTTAAATTTTTGAAAAAAATAAAAAATTTAATCTGTTCTGAGTAGCTTTTCAATAGTTCTAGAGTTCCTGAGAAGGAGAAAGAAAGTTCTGCAAAATTACGCCGAAAACACACACTTTTTTCGAAAAAGTCGAAAAAGTAAAATTTTTGAAAAAAAAATAAAAAATTAAATCTGTTCTGAGTAACTTTTAAATAGTTCTAAAGTTCCTGAGAAGGCGAAAGAAAGTTTTGCAAAATTACGCCGAAAAAACACTTTTTTCGAAAAAGTCGAAAAAGTTAAATTTTTGAAAAAAATAAAAAATTTAATCTGTTCTGAGTAGCTTTTCAATAGTTCTAGAGTTCCTGAGAAGGAGAAAGAAAGTTCTGCAAAATTACGCCGAAAAAAAAAAATTTTCCAAAAAGTGGAAAATGTAAAGTTTTTGGAAAAAATAAAAAATTAATTCTGTTCTGAGTTCGAAAAAGTTAAATTTTTGAAAAACAATAAAAAATTAAATCTGTTCTGAGTAGCTTTTCAACAGTTATAGAGTTCCTGAGAAGGAAAAAGAAAATTCTGCAAAATGACGCCGAAAGATTTTTTTTTTTCAAAAAGTAAAAAAAAGTAAAATTTGGGGAAAAAATTAAATATGTTCTGAGTAGCTTTTCAATAGTTCTAGAGTTCCTGAGAAGGAGAAAGAAAGTTCTGCAAAATTACGCCGAAAAAACATTTTTTTCCAAAAAGTAGGAAACGTAAAATTTGGAAAAAAAATTAAATATGTTCTGAGTAGGTTTTCATTAGTTCTAGAGTTCCTGAGAAGGAGACAGAAAGTTCTGCAAAATTACGTCGAAAAAAACATTTTTTTCCAAAATTTAAAAAAAAATTACATATGTTCTGAGTAGCTTTTCAATAGTTCTAGAGTTCCTGAGAAGGAGAAAGAAAGTTCTGCAAAATTACGCCGAAAAAACATTTTTTTCCAAAAAGTAGGAAACGTAAAATTTGGAAAAAAAATTAAATATGTTCTGAGTAGCTTTTCATTAGTTCTAGAGTTCCTGAGAAGGAGACAGAAAGTTCTGCAAAATTACGCCGAAAAAACATATTTTTCCAAAAAGTGTAAAATGTAAAATTTTTGAAACAAATTAAAAAATAAATCTGTTCTGAGTAGCTTTTCAACAGTTATAGAGTTCCTGAGAAGGAAAAAGAGTGTTCTGCAAAAAAGTTCTTCCTGAGAAGGAGAAAGAAAGTTCTGCAAAATTACGCCGAAAAAACA